AGCGCTGTAGGCATTGGAAGTTCAGAGTGTTCAGCTGACAAGCCACAAGCTTTTTGAACCAACGCTCTTGATGTCAGCCGACAGGCCTGAAAAGCAGAATGCCATTTACGTTTTATAGAGATAAGTCGCCTTAGTTAGAGACATTCCAGCTTTAGGCCCTGACGTTCCTGGCCATGGCTGGTGGGGTCATTAACCAGAAGTTCTTGGTCTGCCGGGATACAAAGGCGCCGCTGTCCACTCTCAGGTAACTGTAGCACAAAACTGACATTTACATTGAATTTGTAGTTCGGTTATGCGAAACATTCAGCGGGAGTTGTGAACTTTTAATTCGTGGGTCCACCTCTAAGATAGGACTCATCCCAACCACCGAAGCTTTGCGGCCATCGTTCGGGCTGCAGGTGCGGCAGGCACCTGCCAAGGTGAGCACGAAGTTCCATGATTTGAAGGCTCGTCGGTCCTTGGGCATATCTTCGTGGGAGGCACTTGGGTGCTTTGCTACTGTCCAGTCTTTCGTGCCCCCGTTTGCTGCGACAATGCCGACGGACCCTCATCATGTGATGCCACTATGAACTGCAGGTAGTGATGGCCTGCATGTAGCTGAAGGCCACGAGCTTCCCAGTCAGTTATTCGGCGAGGCCGGCCAAACCGTGGTGGTTCTCGATCAGCCGCGCCAGCTGCCGGATGGCAGCCTCTGTGTACCGATCCAGCCCAGAGGCTCGATGCCTTCATGGGCCTCGGGTAGCATCACCCATCGCGTGTTCGTTGCATTCTGTGCTTCGGGGCTCTGCCGTGAGGATGGGTCGATGCCGATGTTCTGCAAGACTTTCCTGGCTCGTCGACATCCGAGGCCTCAACAAGGGAGGAGGAACAGCAAGCATGGCCTAGCGGTCTAGCGCGTCACGCATAAAATAACCATGCAGCAGTACATGACGGCCCACGAAGACTGAATCGAGAGGCCTCGGCCTGAACGTGGCAGGAAAGCTCCCAATGCTCTTTGAACTACTGGCCTTGTACTGTGCCTCAGCAGTCGGCTTTTGTGAGGTGACGACACCAGTGGAGTCGAGCGGGGAGGTGATCCCAGCTGCCAAACGGGTTTGTCGCTTATGCCTCATTTTAAATCGGGTGCGTGCATCAAGTAGGAAGCTCACACAATTCGAGTGGAGAGTATGAGTGTGGCTGCAGTTCGCCGTCGGTCTCAAAGAGTCCTGTTGTCAGGAGCACTTGTCTCTAGACGCAACTGCTCGAAGGACGCATGGCAGTACGCCAGAGATGCGGAGCCAAAGGTTGCCACTGGGCATCGTGCGGAGCAGTGTGAGAAGCATATGGATCCCTGAGATCGGGCTCATTTCTTGCTTTCGAGAGCTCAAGGCCTACAACGACGGCCGCGAACAGCCCTCAGAAGCTGCTTTGGCACGACACGCGACACGCTGATCGGCTCTTGCTCTACATGCTACCACACGATTCTTGTAAGAGGACGCGCAGATTTCAATGAGAACCCAAACCCCAGATTTTGGATGAAAAAAAGGCAAAGGCTGGCGACGCATGGGCAAAGTACGGAGGCAACAAAAGCAACTGGGTCCGGGCCTTAGTTGTCTCAGCCTGACACGTCCTGGAGGTAGCAGCTGATGCAGGTCCCCTCAGACATGACTAGATCTCTCTTCCGTCTGCAGAGAGTCGACCTGCCGTCCTGTTCCTGTGACCTGAGGATCACAACGTCCGGAGCTTGTTGTCGTCAGGGTGGGCAAGGGGAGGCACGATTGTAAGTGCTGGCAAGTTCCGATCATGGCTTGTGTGCCAGTGGCTGAGAGTACTTGAACGTGGATGGAGCAAAACACTTCCGTGGATGCCTGTCCACAGTCACCAGCATGCTCACGACACCCTTCGCCCAGAGATTGAAGGTGTGCTGCAACCTGCTAAGGCCAAGGGGCAAGACGACGATCCCTGGAGCCAGTACAAGCAAAGTGACTGGGCTCTGGGCCCAGACTCCGCCAGCGCACAGCGTGGCACTTCCGAAGGTCTCCGTGGATGTGGGCTCTCGGGATGCTACGCCCTGCAAGCAGCGCTGACGCAGCATTCCCGCTGCTCAGGATAAGAACGCTTGGGCGAAGAAGGATTGGGGAGACAGCCACGACAAGCAGGACGACAGGGTTGTGGCACATGGCATATTGCATTCCATGCCACGGCCAGGATTGTATTCGGCTCCAAATCCGGCCGAATTCCGTTGTGCCAGCGTTGTTTTCGTTGGTTTGTGTGTGTGTGTGTGTCGGACGGAGGATTGGTCAAAGGATGACAACAGCTCAGGCGGAAACGGGCTGTTTCGAATCGCCTTGCAATGTACCAGTGTGCACCCTGTCATGGTCGGAACGGGGGATTACGAACCTCGCAAGTCCTGCTGCGTGAGGCTGGGGCCAGGACGGCCAAGAAAAGTGGGACCAGGAGAAGTCTGAAGGACGTTTCAGTATTCGCACACCCTGCGTGTTCGCAAGACCAGTAGCATGCCTTCATCAGGAGATGGGTACCCTGAGAGAACGGAGCACGGTGGCTTAGTTGGGAGTGGGGCATGCGCACTTCCAGAGTCTCTCTGGCGGGGTGAAACTCATCGCTGGCTCAGGCTCGAGCAATGTCCAGAATGTCCAGAGGAGGCCCTGCAGTGTGTACTTGAAGGATGGAAAGGTGGCTGGCGCTTTGAGCTAGCAGCTAGTGGCTGGTAGAGACCGAACTTAGCGGTGCTGTGCTGCTCGTCGCTAGTAGATACTGTCACTGGCTGTCGCCACTGGCTGCGTATGAGATGAAGTGCGTTTACTGTTGCAAATTGGTGAAGCTGCTCGGCCAACGAGGGAAGGCCATTTTGGCTCTGCTGGTTTCGTAGCTCTTCCATGCGGTGTCTTCGTCCAAGTTCCATCGCGGCTGCAGGCGGGGGGAGAGTCGTAGAATCAGGTCATATCAGGTGTTGTGTGGCCCCGGCTGCTTCGGCCAGGAATTCTGCTCCACTTCACCCTTTCTAGTCTCTAGCATGCCCAGGGCATGGCGCTGGCTGATTTAATTTTGGGATGCTGGCCAGGCAATTCGGAGGAACTGTACTACTCTGGGCAGCAGGACGATGCCGCAGTGGTCGCGGTTTGGTGGGATTGGTGGCCGGTTGCAGGGTTCGTCAGGTACTCGTAGTATATCATTGCAAGACCGAGGCTGATTGTTTGAGAGGCTGAGCCATGATCTCTTCGTCGTCTCTGTCTCTTGCTTCTCGCACGGTTCAAGCTTTGCCGGCAACTCACCTCGAACATACTGTTGTTAAGAATCCACCACCGAATGTACAATATTTTGTGCACGCAAACGGTTGTTGCCAGGAAGCGTGCAAGCGTGCGCAGTGAGTGAACCCTTGTGAGTTTCAATGCACTGGCCACATTGTGGGCAAAACTAGTCCAGCACTTGCCGCTCTGCTGGCATATCTCCCTTTCCGTCACGTGTTCTTGGGGGTGGCACGGCTTCAATCAAAACATCTCTTTTATGAGAAGTCTCTTCAGCGCAAGCCTTTGTTGGTGCGAATTTCGGTTTCAAGATCCGATTCTACCAGTCACGGGTACTGGTGGTACCCGGAGAGGACTTCCTGGAAACCGACGCGGCCATGACGAGTGCAGCGGCGGCGGCTGCACGGGCCACCGCCGCCTGGCGGTTCTTTCACGGTAACGAGGCCTCCTGGGCTTTTTATCTAGGGTTAGGGATGCAGATGGAGATTTTACTCGACATGGCTGCCCTAGTAGTGCCGGAAGGCGTCCCAATTCTGGCCGTGTGTCTTTCAGGATGTTCATGTATGTGGCTTCGAGTTTGGGCCGTGTCTGAAATAATTCTGGCTTTTTGCTTGTCGTTATACACGCTTGGTTTTACTCCGTGGGAAATGCCCACCTGAAGCATCCCAGTCTGGCAGTGTCCGAGTTGCGAGAGCGTGAAGATGCCTTGATCAAAGAGTTGAGTGCTTGGCAGATCGTGGGACGGAGTGTTAGCATGTCCGGAACTACAAAGGAACCATCAGCTAGCTGACTCATCAAGTTTGAAGCTACCATGCATGTGTGTGCATGTGTATATTTGTATATATGTATATACATATAGATATATATGTTCATTTATTAAGAGTTTTTGGATGCACACCTATCACAACGTATGCATCTAAATAAAGATGTATATATACGTGGCTCCTTCCTGCCGGTCAGGCCAAAGAGCAGATAGCAGTGCGCAAGCCCGCCAGGTCCAACAGAGTCCGCTTGTTTCTTTTTTCTTGAGGATTGGCGGTGAGGGTTTCTAGAGGCTGGTTCTCCATTCAAGCTATCTCAAGCTAGTCTCCTCGAGCAGGTAATTCATGCAGTAGTGAGCAGTGACTCTGTTTCGTCCGTGCGAGGATGTCGGTGCAGGCACCTCCAAGCCGGGAGCCCGATGCATTTCTATGTACTTCTACTTTGCAAAATACCTGATGCAGAGCACGTTGGCATAGGCGACGTACATTCGCAAGGGCTTGAAGTCACAAGATTACTCACAAGATTGCCACACCCGCAGGTGCCCGTGTCCTGTGTCTGCGCTTCTCGAGTTGAGCATGTTGTGAGCCTGTCCTTATGTAGCAGCAGTTCTAGTTGAGCTGGGTGGTCGTCCGCCTCTAGCGAAGAAGCCATCGAAGACCTGACCAGGAGGCTGAACGGCATGTGCAGCCGCAGAGTCAGCATCGAACCCCGTGCCGAAACGTCTGCGTCATATACCATGTGTCTATCCTCTATATAGGTATCGGTATAGCTCAGTTCGAAGCTACGCGTCATCATACGGATAGGGTTGCGCTGAGTGAGGCCCCGAGCTGGGCACGCGGCTCTCGCAAACAGCCCAGGCCGCCTCATTTGAGGGTGCAGGATCCGCTCTTCTGTAGCTTTCAATATCTGGATCCCAGCGATCACGAATCGCGATCCAAAATCTTGACGGAAAGGGTTTCGATGACTTTTCTGCAAGATCGCCAGCCTCATGGCATTCAACCTGTGAATCTCAAAGCCTTGCCTTCCAAACAACATACCAGACGGCGCAGCGGGCACGGGCTGCGCTCGAGGCCTTTACGAATCAATTGTTTTTTGGCTTTCGTCGGGTGTGCCGAATATTGAGCATGAGGGAGCTGGTACACTCCTCATACATCACAACCAGCCATGACCGACCGTTTGAGGAACGAGCGCGCCTACCTGCTCCGGTGCCATCGGGGCCACGTGGCTGAATGCATCCTGGGCTTGCCATACCGCTTGGGACGCATCGTCCATTTATTCTATTCCGTCTTATTCGCAACATCTAGTCCGGGGATAGCATTAAAGTCGATGAACTACGAGCCCAGCGCTAGCACCTACTATGGGACCTCGTAGCCTCGCTTTTTTGCATATGCGAATCCATGCAGGTCGATGCCATATGGTGCATGTGTGTACACATGGCTATAAGGCTTAATCAGCTGTCCGTTGCAGTCGATGCCCAAGGCCGCGAGTGCAACCAGGAATGCTCAGTGCGAGAGGCCTGGCCCTCCTTTTGTAGCACTTATATAATTTCTCTCTCTCTCTATATATATATATTCAGGTGTGTGTGTGTATATATATACACATACATGTCCTACCCCACTTCAAAGCCCACGAAATCCATGATTTTAGGATGAATGTCCAAAGTATCGGTGTTTCTTTCCCTCTCCATTCCTGTTATCAAAGTGTGGTTCATACACGAAATGCAGGTTTTCTCGCCAAGACGGTTGTCATAAAATGTATTGTATAATCCTAGGTTCCCTATAAGACCGTCAGCACGGTTTGTATCATCACAGGTATTCCCGTACTATACACCCGTGTGAGGAACACGTCAGTTCTGTTGAAGTTTTGCCACTACTTCAGCAGAGGTCGTATGGTGATCTCCAAATATGCAATGACAATCATGCGAGACTCTGATCTTGGTTTGCGATCGCTTACCGGTCAATATCTACACAGTGCTTGACCGATGTTAAGCCTTCTAGATTGTTTTGTTGTATGCAATTGGTTTTTGGTTGTTTTCTGTGATGTTTAGCCTAATGTGCAGGAAGGACTCCTGGAGTTTTCGGTTGCATATGCATATCAAGTGTTGTGAATTGTCATGGTTGAATACGTTTCTGATTCTCGGTTTTATCGTTGTCTTAATCAACCCAACAGTGGTCTCCTCAAAAATTCAGCTAAGGCTTAGCCGCTACCTCCTAAATTTGCATTTACTCGGGGATCATTATTGCAATTATTTGCTACGAATAATCATCAGTATTGAATCATGTGGCCAAGTGTACAGAGAGTAACTTTTACTGCAGGAATGCTTCAAATTCTGTAAGTGTTACGTCAGCCATATCTGGTCAACAAGAAATAGCACCTTCGTTTCTATCGTTCTTGCAGTTGAACACTTCTCGAGCATATATGAGGTCGAAGGACGTGTTTACATATTTTCCACTATAGTTCGTAAATACCATGTCTAAACAGTGGCTGAATGCTTCTCATACATGCTCACACGTTAGCCCGGAATCAACAAGAAACTGCTACGTACAGTACGTACTGACAGTGTGACAAATATATACTTGCGATAACAACGAGATGTTTATGAGCATCGCTTGAATACCGTAGGCTTTCGTTCATTGCCCTACCTAACTTGAATTTTTAAACTCAGGAACATTGTAAATATTGTTAAAGAAGTACTGTGCTGAGTAGTAGCTGGATAAGACTCTGCTACAATAACTGCGACGACAAGGTGTTAGCTCAGGTTTCAGAACTGTTCAAGCCTCGAGATCTCGCCCCAAACTTTCTACTAACCTGGACTTCCAACGCTCCAAAACCTTCTGCAATCCATAAAAGATCGGCATGTTACTAAGTTGAAAAACCCAGAATGCAAAAACCATCCCAACATTTCCGGAATGTCAGAACCTAGTAAGCACGACAATCTTAAACATAGGGGCGAACTTTTGTTGAACGTTTGTAGTAATGTAGTATACGGTTTTTGTTCGAATGTCCAAGTTTCCAATTGATTAGTAGGGGCGAACTTAGGATTTTCCAGTTCTTGCAATTGCTGGAATGTGCATGTTCGGATGATGACATGAATGTCGCAAAGAAGGGCAGGAGTCTGTGGGATATAGGGGAAGCATCGCTTATTGACACGAACCCAGAACCCAGGCAGATGGTAGAAGTTACGGCGGAGCTAATACCTGATCAGCTTGGGCGTGGGCTTTGGTACCATATGTATATATATGTATGTATGTATATATATATATATACATGCACACACACACACACACATATATATATATATATACATATCACGACTGAAATCTCGAGCATGCAAAGAGAGACAGACTGACAGCAAGGAGGCAACTCCCCACTCCAGCCCTGACGAAAGAAAGACAGCCAGGCAGGCGGCAGGCATGCAGGCAGACAGGCAGACAGGCACACAGACAGAGTGCACGTGTGTATGCATGCACATTCAACATACTAAGCCTAAGGTGGTACAACCCTGCACATCAGGCCGATGTTGTTTATTATATGGGCGCAATGAGAAGGCCGTGCGTAAAGCCAATTCGCCGTAGGCCGTAGACTCTAAATCTCCTTGCCGTCCTTGCCCCATCCGAGCTGCTTGGGCCAACTGATTGGCAACATCAACACCTGAGTCCAGGTAGCATCGATTCCCGGGTTTCCACAGCGCCCACGTCGCCTGACCGGTCTGGCCTTCAGGCCTGGACGGTTCCGGAATCGTCTGCTGGCACAGTAGGCCAAGCTCGAGTTTGATGTTCGCCAGGCCCCATATGCCACGGAAAGTCCGCAGTTAGCGAAGACCTACTCGCGGCGACGGCCCTCGCAATTTGAGTACCAGCCATCGGATGGCAACAGGGCCGCAGAGAGGGTGCGAATTCCTCTCCGAGGAATGATTGATGTCGCTGATAGGAGGAGCTGAGCAATGGCAAATGCATGTACAACAGATTCGATGTGTGCGAGTCAGTCGTTTACCTTCTGTGCGTTCAGCCAGCAGTAGCGCAGTCTTTTTGCAAAGCCAGTCCTGTGTCTGTAATCTTGCAGAGAAGTTTTTTCACAACGAGCTCCCGATTGCGATGCCAAGGTGCGCGCCCTACATTTCATGCAAACTTGGCGATAGGAGGTGCCTCCGGCTTCTTGCTTGGGCTTGCAGCCGGACAAGCTAAGGCTCCTGACATCACAAATGCCACGCAATCCCACCATGGCGTCCCGAAGTACTGCATGTCTTCAGCAGCTGTATTCATAATGGCTCTTCTAGGCGTCTTCCAGCACACTCGGAATGCATCTTCCGGTGTTTGTGAAGCTGCACTGAGCTAAGCTCGCACAAGGCATAAAGGCTTTAGGTGGTCCATTTTGTTGCTTGCCTACCGCTTACGAAGGGCTCAAGACGGCCGTGCACCTTTCTCTTCCCATCTAATCACGTAAACGAAAATTCGACTGCCCGCCCCCAGCGTAGGACACTGCACGTCCAACTGGAGACGTGTGTTGCTTGAAAGCAACTCCAGCCCCACCGACCGTTTGTGCGTGTAGAGCCCACTGTGTCGGGCCACGTCCGTGGCGACACCGTGGCGACCATGGTGGTGGGCCCTTCCGGCCTGGCGAAGATCGAGGAAGGCCCGGACCAAACTGCCGATAGCGTTTAACAGCTTATGGGAGAGACCAGGCGGCGACTTCTGCGTGTCGCAGCCATGTGCTGTCTGAGGAGATGAGTGGATGTTCTTGCAGAGCTTGCCTGTGTGGATGATACCGGTCAATGCCTCTGCTATTGGATGCATTGGGTGGCCTCATGTCCGCAAAGCGCAGTCATGCCTTTCTACAAGTCGACACAGTCTCTCGCACCAGCTCAGGTGGCTGACACAAGATTGGAGGCTCCTGGCGGTTAGCGCAGGCTTCACAGTGCTCCTGCACCTCGATGTCAAGAGTAGTGTTGTGAGAGTGCACAGAAGTTTCAGAAGCTTTGTGCTTCCGGTGCTGTGAATGCCTGGCTCAACCGAAAATTGAAGCCTGGAAGAAACATGGGAGGAGGAACTGAGCCACTGAGGCTCCATCTGAGGCTGAACGTTATCTCCCGACTCGGCACCTTGGTCCGGATGAGCCCGGAAATTTGTGCTGTAGCTGTGTTTGTTTTAGGGTGCAGGAAAATTCTGTCAAGAGGTCCTGCCACCAAGGCCATTCTGCATGCAGACGCTCACGCCATGACTCCTCACCACATTCTTGCATGCTGCGATCGACAGATCTGGTTGGTTAAACCTCAGGCGATGATCCTTATCTCTTCATCAATCCTTACTGGGATGTTGCAGAGGCTGGGTCTCCTCAGCTGGCTCGAAGAACATGTCCAGCCTGAATTCAATTTCTATCCAGTTCCATGATTCCAAAGTGCAGAGTCAGATGCCTCGGGGCTCTTGTGCTTGGGCACCGATGACCCTCGCGCATATGTGAGGCGTGGCTGTCCCTCATTCCTTTTCTTACTGCCCTGGTTCTTGCGGAGCAACCGGAGACGTACCTTACCGAGCTGCAGCTTAATTGATTTTGCTTCGACAGTGGCGTGTTGCAGCGGAGAGCGAGCGATTTCAAGATAGTGCTGGCTTTCACTTCACAGCAGGACTCGAAACTGCCTCAATCATGTCATGGAGGACAGACATACTGAGACAAATCGGGTTTATTTGGCTGTCTGATGGGGGTGCATGAGTAGCCGGTAGCAACAAGATGAAAAGGGGGGCATGATGGCCAGTCGGCCAGAGCTGAATCTTTGGAATTGAGTTGCTTAGGTTTCAGGGCATTTGGCAGCTCTCAAACTCACGGTGTTGACCAACTGACGCTACGAACATGCCGAGCTACGGTCAAATGGCAACGAAGAAGGGTAAAGAATCCAGATCAACAGGTGTAACATGCACATCGGCATGGCAAGATACTTGTGGGTTTTGTTGCTCGAGAATGCAGCAGGCAAGCAAATCAACTCTTGTGATTTGTTTGCCCAGCGGCGATAACAACTGCGGATGACCAGTCCAGCGCCCAGGATGTCAATCAGACGACACGCTTTGCAATCCTTTGGGCCATGACCGTTGCGGTGAACTTCAAGGCACCGAGACTTTGCCCTGGCTCCATAGTGTATTGTCCTCTCCTTGGCAGGTGAGCGATGTCAACCACCTGATGTTCTATTGCACCCCGGTAGCCGAAGAGGGGCTGAGTAGGGAAAGGGATGCTCGCGGGCTTCAAAGGGTTACATGGGTTTTGTGTACTGCAGGATTTCTGGCAGGTTCACGGTGATGTTTGAAAAACGAGGGCTAGATTTACACAAGCACAAGTTCGTCTTACTTACACTTAACAAGCTGCTTTGTTTGGAGTCCAGGAGCCCAGACACAGTGGACCTTGGTTTAGGGTTTAGGGTTTAGGGTTTAGGGTTTTTATTGAAAGCTTTCCAGCCTCCCCTTGAGTGTCGAGGCTGCGAGAGCAACGATCGCCAACATACTGGTAAGCTTGTTCATGCCGTGGGCCATGATCAGCATGGGAATCCACACATATAAAAGCAACCACAACGCAGCTCCTCCTCCTCCTCCTTTGTCCATACTCCTGCTCCTGCTACTTCTGTTGCTGCTGCTGTTATGGCCACTACTACAGTACTCCTTCTTCTTCACAATGCAAGCTTCAGTACGGTGTAGATCAGATTGACTTTTCAGATTCCCGACCTGTGCCTCTCAGAGGCTGGTTTCGCAGCTCGGGCCTCGCTTTGGCGCAGAAGCGCGGAGCTTTGGCGGTGAATTTATTACAGTAGGGTCTGGGGTTCAGGGTCCCGTCGAGAGGTAGACGCGGCACGCGTGTTCGAGCATCTGCTCATGGGCGTGCGTATGTCGGAGTTCTCAATGCGCCAAGTGCCGACACAGTCGGATTGGCATCCCTATCTTTCCGTGAGTGCGAAGAGTCTTACTTAAGGATTGGGATCTCGGGGCCACGCTCCCTATGGCCTGCCCTGGACAATGCCGAAGCTCACGGTCATGGAGATGCGCCACTTGAGCAAGTGATTGGATTGCCCCACCCTCAAGGCAGCGCTTGTCAAGACTTCCTTCAGAAATCTGCCTGATTCACGGAAGATTGTAGGGGCGCTGTGCTTTTCATCCCTTGCGCTCGTCACGCTACAAACTTGGGAATCCAAAAGAAGGGCATGCACAAATTCCAGCGTGATGCAAGGGACCGCATGTGCAAACTGCTGCCAAGGTCGCATTGGCTGGGTCTTTTTCGCCTCGCTGGCCTCAGTGGGCTTGAGCCCACTTCCTGCCGTTAACTGTTGTGTGGCAATCGTCGCCTATTTTCTGCACCTGGGACTAAGAAGATCATTGGATGTCCCAACCAAGTGCGTGCTATCATGGTTAGCTACAACTAGAGGTATCTACACGGTCAGCGCAGGTCGTCTTTCAGCGCTGGGGTTGAAGTTGCTTCTGCGGGCCTGCAGGACATTGTCAGACAGACCGGGTTGGATGCTCCAGTACACGAGGTTAGTCGAATCGAAGCGAAAAGAATTAGATGCGCCGGTGAATCTAATGCTCAGTGGCTGCAAACCTGCACACAGCACCAGGGAGCAAGGCATTTTGAGCGCTTTGTGGCCTTGCAGGTACTTCACCCAAATCTTTCCTGAATCGCAGGCGCTGAGCTGGATGTTAACACCGCATGTGCCCAGTCTTGTCAATCTTTAAGCATGTTCGTTTGCATCTGCTGAACGCGTCAACTGGTTGGCTCCGACTGTACATTCGAGAATATGCTTGGCATCTTTCCGTAGTGATGTTGGGTCAGATACCCTCTGTAGCACCCGGCGACACGAAGAGGACTTGCCGACGTACCAGCATCCTGTTTTGACAGGCCGGCCAGCATGGCTCCCTGCCTATACCCAACAACCTCGCATACCTGGCTGCCGCACCACAACTGTGGCAAAGCTCAGCCAGTTAGCTGGCTGAGATGGACTGAAGCTTGCGCGGTCTCGGGGTAAGTTCCAGAAGTGTTGGCAGCATCGCGCGTCAATGTTATTGCTCGGTGGGGATGCTCACGTCGGACTGTGTGTCACCAGAGTATCCTTGACTTGTTGACTTGCATCTGAGGAAGCCTTTACCCATTGACTTTTCTGAAGCTGCATGTCGTGTCCCTCTACTTCGCCGCCGGACTTTGCAAGCTAGGTGCCATGCCTTGTGTTGGAAAGCCGGGCCATCATGTTTCAACAGGCACTCGGTCAACGGCAGGCGTTGCTCCCTGAGGTGATCTGACGTGTTTGGGCTGAGACAAACCATGGAACACCTAGGAAACGACAACCCTGCGACGACCAGCACCAGCAACAGAAAGTAAGAAGAATCGCATCAGTAATAAAACAAAGCAGGGTGATGGAGCGGCTGTGCCATGGATACTGTTGTTGCTGCGTCGAGTCTATAATATGCACACCAGCATGTAGGCCAAAGCCATCAAATCTCGGTCACTCGTGCTGCCCAAGGCGCCTCTCTCAAGATGGGCCGCTGGTGGGCCAACGGCGCCAATCTCCAGTCGTATCTCTTCCATGCCATGTGGTCCCGCCGCTGGGTCCTACCGGTCCTGTTCATGCCGAGTATCGTATAGGTCCAAGGTGGCTTTGCAGGTTTTGAGCCATTTTGAGCCTCGCTCAGGGGTGAGGTGTGTTACGGGCTTCGATTGAGATGGGCGCGGGTTCAGCATGTCTTCGGGGGGTCGATGTGCAGACTTTAGTCTTGCTGGATCGTTGTGGTCACAAAGCAAAGTGAAGCAAGGACCCGGGAACGTGAAGAGCCACCTGGGCGCGCACAGCCTGCAGGTCTTCTTCGCCATGTCCTTGGCGTCGATGGGAGTACAAAACACGATAGTCCTCGGTAACGACGCCCATCCTCCGACACTAAAATTTCTCTAAATTTGAGCGGGGCGGTGGGTGGTGGGCTTTGGACGGACCATGGCCGGGGGCCCGTCAGCCTGAACCACCAAGTCCAGAGAATCAAGACACCTCGAACAGACCTTCCAAAGACAGCTTGCACTTGCCATCCGCAGCATGCGTGCGCGTCGGTTGTTTAAGGAAGACGCATGACCTGCCCGGCCTGGCCTGCCCTGTTTGGCAGATGATGCTTCCAGTTCCCAAGGTCACTCGCCCTTGGCTCTGTGTTGCGGCTTCTGCGCTGGGCCTCCTGTTTGAGTCTCGGGCTCAGTGGCTCTAAGCTTCGTGTCATTCAAAGCGTACCAGTTGGAGCATTGTGGTCACTGCAAGAAAGCTGTCCATCGTTGATGGGGTTTCGCGAGCAGGCGACTTTGAGGTCATCTGGCATGACTGGCAAGTCCGGGTTGGAACAGATCAAAGCTCGCATCGACGCATCTCTACGCGGACTGTTGCAAAACGCGTTGTGGAATATTTGTGGGAGGCTCTACTACGTCCGCGGCTGCAGATGTAAACTGAGGCTTCTGGCGCCAGCGGCGCTGTTCCATGAGGCACAAGATGTGCCATGGGGACAGACAGAAAACGACGGATTTCGACAGAGGTCCTGTGCGCTGCAGCAAGATAGGAAACTGATGTGAGATCTACCGGCGATGATAGAATCAATGTCGACATCGTTTCGGAGGGTGGCAAAAGGTGCAGGGCGTTTCTTTTCGTCAACGTCGATTGCTTCCCTGAGGTCGCAGCCAGAGCCTTCGTGGTGGCCGCTTTCTTGTTCCATGTTGTCGTTTTTGCGACGCAGGGTCACAGCCTTAGCACGTGGAAAGCAGAGGGAGACATCATGTGTCATGCGACTTTTGCTCTGGAATGTTTGGCCGAAGCTATCGCCGCTCAGCAGTGATTGTGTGTGACAGTAAGTTGGCCAATTCCGCACACGGTGTCCCATGCTCTCCTGCAAGCCAGTCGAGGCATTGACTTTGTAACCTTTTGGACTCCGTCGCTGCTGGTCTTCGTTGTCGACCCCTCGCCGCTGCAGGACAGTGTTCTGTAGCATCTGAGTCTCAGTCGCTCGTAGTTCCCTTCGATAGGTACTGGGCGATTTAAGTTGGACTGCTGAAGGCTTCAGGTGCATGTGTGGCCCATGTCATGTCAGACAGTTTTCCGGATGATGTTGGCTTTGTTGAGTTGTGATGATGCTGGGGACTGGTCCAGGCTTCTTCGCTCCTGCCAGAGACCGGCATGGAGGTGGCTCTGTGGGCAGCAGGCTCGAAGCCTGAGGCATAGGATTGGCTGTCTGCCGCAGGTCAGGAACAGCGCTTGTCTGCTTCCATGCAGGAGAGTTCTCCGAACTGTGAAAGGGTTGAATGTATTCCGTTTGTGTTCTGCACTGTGTGATCTTTGCTCCCGTTCTGCACGAAAGGAATCTGTAAACGCATTCACCTCGAAGATTGAACCAACTAGTTGGTCACACACAGACACTGCCCACACATATATATATATATATGTATACAAACACTTATAATTATAACTATAGTTTTAAATAGATAATCATATATATATATATACACATATACAAATCTATGTTTGCACAGGTGCAAGCACATGTGCAAGCACATGTGCAGGAGTGCATGCGGTCATGCATGTGCTCGCATCAGATCGTGCACATGGGTGTGTGTGTGTGTTGACTTGCTGCTCTTGTGCACATTTTGCAGATTCGGTCGGACAAGGCCTGAATTTGCATACATGCAAATCGTGCCAAGGTTCGGCAATGATGCCGCAATGTCCCCATACTCCCCAGGTCCTGCGTTCAGATGTGGGTGCGTATCGGAAAATGGAGACGCAAACTTTCCAACTGTCAGTCTGTATGCCCGCGTTGCAGGAGCGGCCTACCTCTCCTCGCAGCTTTACTTTTGCTTCTCGTTTGCCGAGGCCACGGGTTGGACCTTCGAAGCTAAAGCACCCAAGTTGACATGAGAAGACCGGAAACTTCCCCAGGCCCTAGGCCGGCGTGTACCTTTCTTGTTGAAAGCATTTTCTGGTCCAGGAGTGAATGGAGTGAATGATTCCTGCCCTGGCCTTGAGGCGAAAGGTGGCCGGTTCGGCAGTGGCCCGCTGCCTTTCAGCTGCCCCTGGGCCCATGAATCCTCATGACCACAGAAGAGCGGAAGGTTAATGGCAGCCCTGTGATCGTCCGAACTGAATGGCTACAACCTCCACGCCGAGAATACTGCTCACAACGGACACTTGTGGCTGTAAATCAACAACTCGTCCGCAGAAGCCAAGTGGTGACCGAACCCCTTGCTGAATGAGTTGTTTGCATGCCACCATGCCATGACTTGTCTCTCAGCCTTCTGCTTCCGAACCTTTGAGGTTCCCCAATGTTCGCTGTTGTCAACAACATCTTCAGCGATGAGGTGCAGGCTTTTGTGTCAGAGGATTGCCACATTTTGTCTTGCAGTTCTGGAGAAATGCAGACAGGCATCAGAGCCATCACAGGCCCACTTCAATCCAGAATGTGATCTCATCCGTCGTGAAGAAAGCGGTAAGTTGATTTTATACGAGAGCTAAGTCTCTCACAGAGCCCACAGGTGTTCAACTGGTTTCTCATGGCCAGTGGCGACCTGCGATCAGCGGGTCACTTTGGAGTCCTTGCAGCCTGGCAGATTTTGGGGCGGACTTAGCTCACGTGTATGTATATCTATATATATATATAGATAGATAGATAGATAGATAGATAGATAGATATATATATATATATATAGACTGTTTCTTTGTCCGTCCGTTTGTTTGTTTGTCTGGGGGTGTGACGTATGTACGTGTGTGAGATGGCTGGCTCGGGGTTTGCAAGTTCTAGTCAGAACTTGAATCTGGCGGCTCCGGCATTCGCTGTTCACGGATCCTTTCCTTGTTGCCGTCCCCCTCGTCGTTTTTCCTGACGTCTATCTTCGCCGGCTCCTGTGATTCAGTGGGGGCTACGTAGACAATCGTCATGCAAAACTTTCCAAACACCCAGAGGGGCAAAGAAGCCCAAAAGGGACACTGTATTGCACAACTTCCAGAATCTGAGGAGTGGACGGGCCCCGTGTTCAAGGTGCACGAGCTCACCCATGAGGAGCTATGCAAGTGGCTCGAGAGCATTCCTGCTTCCCAAAAGCAGTCCTCCCCGATTCTTTGGCGCATCACGACTTCCAAGGCTGCCTTTCAAGGTGCTGATGTTTGGCAGCACGGAGTACGACTCCAAGCACAGGCTCCTAGACCGGTTCATCAAGGAGGCCATGTAGTGACTCTGAATCCCACGGTTTTTAGCTCTGCGTACCACCGGTATCTCAAATGTCAAAGGAAGCCTAGATTAGGCACGCGACGGGCTGATTTAGTCAAGCATTCATCTCGAAACACACGCAGCTTGCGACTCATGTCAGTGTCCTTGCCACCCATGTTCTCTCTCTCTCTCTCTGTCGCCCTTCCTTCTTTCCTTCCTTCCATCCCTCTGGCTCTTGTTTGCTTGTTTGCAAGCGGGAAGTCCCCTGGCCCGAAGGCCTGCACCCGAGCCCCCTCATGCTGAGCTCTGCTGTTCCCCCACGTGAGAACAAATCACCGCCCTCGTCACTTTTGATGACACAGAAGCTTCAGAGATGAGGGGCAAAAAGAGCAAGAGAGAGCGAGAGAGAGAGAGAGAGAGAGCCGCCGGGTGGCATGCGCCGGCTCGCAGTTTGCATCACTTTGTGGATGCCCTGTCGAAGGACTATCAGCACAAGAGGTTCATCCTCTTCTCAAACTTCCGAATTCGCCCGGAACTCGAGTCAAAACTGAGACAGGCAGGGAGGGCTGGGCATTAACATCGTGACGAAGCGTTTGTGATTTCATGGCCACGGGAGGTTTGCCATCTGCTTGTTGTGGATCGAGATCCCATGGCCGATCCCTGGTGCCGAAGGCCACGACAGGGTTCGTGCTTTGGGTCTCAGAACCCATGAAGGGTGGGCTCACCTCGAAAGCTGTCGCTCCTGTCATATCCATCCTTGAGGAAGCTCCAGGAGCTATGCGACCTCCAGCGGGAGTGTGTCCAGCTCTTCCGAGTGTCTTGGAGTGGTTTGGAATCCACATGTTACTGTCAATGTGAGGGGCAGTGAGGGATTGGTGCTGTATGGAAGTCGTGGTCGTCTTCTTCTCGCACAAGTCAAGTCGCATATATCGTACCACGTAGCTGTAGCTTCTGGTTCTGGAAGGTGGTGGAGAGCTTTCGTCAAAGCAGCAGACGGGTCAAGAGACATTGCGACTTCTGCCTGAGTGCAACTGTGCAAGCCACTGCAATGCGGGGTGCGGGTAAAGTAACTTTTCGAGGACGATGTGGCTGCATGGACTGTGGACACCATTCAGAGGCACAGCTGTCAGACGAGTAGGGTAGCCCTTCACGGTACAGCAATCACACAACATTCCCAGAGGCTCAGAGCTCCTGATCTGCAGTAACATTACCCAGAGGAGGCAACGACCTCTCAACATGCAGGCAGATCTCCTTCTTGGAGAGTTCCGGCATTGATGTGGACACAGGTGCCTGACTGGAACAGTGTAAGTAAGCATGTCTGGAATTACTGTCGAAAGACGGGGACTGGACATGATGTGGCCAAGCACGCCATCCTGCAAGCATCTGTAGCCCTGCACTCTGCAAACCTCCCAGAAGGCGGACAAGAGCTGGAGCCGCCGCCCCTCAAGGCAGAGGAGGACTTTTCAATTGCACTACAGAGTTTGTCCTGTGGCGCCGAATCCTGCTCTCTTCAAGGTAGCTGGCTGCCAGACGGTCTCTGCAGGGGTGCTTGCTGTTAGACCAGTAGGGCAACTAGACTCCGCACATCAGGCGTGAGCATACCAACAGATGGAGACTCAAGCTTCGGAACCGTCTCTTCAGGATGGCCTCGCCGCACTTCTGCTGAAAGGTCGCGCCTCCTGCCCGCATTATCTCGCATTTCCCAGCCTGACTAGGGTGCACGGAGCTCATCCGCGCGGAACTTTCTCGGGTCGGCAGGAGGTTATAGACCCGACTGAGAGCTTGGTCCTGATTCTGCGAATATCTCAGACCATCCCGGCTTTCCTGCAGTAAGGCTGTCGACAAGCTCGGCGCCAAATCCGACAGCACCCGCAAGGCCGTTGCAGCCTGGCTGCGGTATGCTGCGGTGCAATTGATAAATGAATGAAGGCATTCTGAGCGAAGGCATTCTGAGCTTATTGCACAATTATATGCTAGCAAGTTTTCCGCTACTTTTCCACTGGAGACGATCCTATGCAATTGTTCGCCGGAGAATCAGGCACGGGAGTTTTTGGATGTCGAGGATCGAGTGCCAATGTCACCGTAACTCGGTGGCCTAAGGTGCCACCCCTTCCATCCCTGGACCGGAGCTGCAGCGCATCAGCTGGAATGCCATGCATTGTTGCCGGGACACATTCATCAGGGTTTAGGGTTTAGGGTCGAGTCAGCTGTCCTGGTGTGACGTTGCAAGCCAGTTGCAAAAAAAGGGTATAGGGTTTTGGTCTGAGTTTGTGCCTGCACGAAGCATCGTTATCCCTGAACTGGGCTGGCAGGCTCGACACTTCAGTGTAGGTTGAGGAAACTCGTGAAGCCCCCTTTCCTTTAGCACGATTCTTTCATGAAGACAACACATGCATAGAGCTTCGCAGGTGGAGGCGTCGCCACCGAGTATGCCGGATTTGCTTCGGGCATCCTCCTCCCCATCCTGAGTTTTAGACAGCATAGACTGTAGACTTGTGGAGTATCGTGTGCATCTGCGTGGTTTCGTTGAGGATTTGACGGTCAAAGCTGGATGTGGGGGAGCTCGGGTTCGGCAGAGCACGTTGAAGTTGCAAGCCGTCCGGATGCAACCGACCAGTACAGGAGGTCTCTGCCTCTGCGGAACGGTTCCAAAAGGTCGGCTTGCAGCCAAATGCCGGGAGCGTGTTGACCAAAAGCCCTCCATCATCGTTCCTACGCCAGGTTCCGAGAGCCTGTCGTCTCTCTCGACACAGGCACCTTCCGCAAGGACCTCGGCCTGGGCCTCAAAGGGTAGAGTCAGAGTATGCACAGCGCTGCATCCTCGGATGGCTTATGCTGGCCTTTCAAGCCATGTTCGCTTGCTGCATCGGCAAATCAGTGGGGTGAACCAATGCAGTGGAGATGCACGAAGTTGACGGCCCCGTTTTTGAGCCGTGCCTACATGCAGAGCATTGCAGAGCTGTGCGGCCGTGTGCTCATTGCCCTGCAATATAGTGAGAGCTGAGATGCTCGTGGTGGGGGATCCCCCAGATTTGCGGAGGAGCCGCAGTGAGCGACCGGGAGTGTAGCATCCTACCAGCAAGCATCAACATATGCGTAAGTTTCAGATGGTTGTAAACTGGCGGCGTGCTCCAACGTTCCATGATAGCCGAGATTTCAGCGTCGATCGACCGTATCTTCCCATAGTCGGACAAGCATCCTTGTCTCGTCGAGCTCTTCAACGTTTCAATGTGGCGGCAACTGAAGTGCCGAGAACGATCGTTATAGTCCTACAGTATTCTTCCCAAAGCCCCCAATCTTGGGCCCCAAACCCTGTTTTGAATGCTAGTCACGGCCACACACTTAAAGGATCATGGGACTTAGTAAGTTAGGTTATAACTAAGGTAACTATACTTATAACCCCAATTAGGGGACTTATAACCTTACTTACTAAGTCCCATGATCCTCCAAGCAATGGCAGGAAGAGCCTCGTGGAGCCGGACTTGCAATTCGGTGCCAGCGCACGGCAGGAGCGGCTCGCGGTAAGCTTTGGATGGGATTTATGAGGACTCTCGGAGAACCAACTCTCGTTGAGCCCGAACCGAAGATCGTAATGGCGTAGAGGAGGCTTCAGTCAGCTTCAGCAGATGAAGGTGACATGCACTGACAATGAAACAGTAACGGGAAGCATGCCTGGTCCCAGTTTTGAGTGCGGAGGCCGCAGCCTATCACGAGGAGCAGTCTACAGTCAGGGAGGGGCTAGCGGTTTAGCGGCCGGAGGGATTTGGAGGTTGGAACCCTAACCCCTAAACCGAGGTACTACAGACAGAGTCTCAAAAAAGCTCCGCCAACGCCATGGCCGAGTGCATCCGTCCGAAGGCACCATGAAGCAAATCTTGAGCGTCCCGCAGCCTGCAGATGCCGGTCCGGACAGGGCCGAGCGGACTGTGAGCGTTCATTGCCTGGCAGGTTCCAGCTTCGAGCTGGAGGTCAAGTCTGCTGAAACGGGGTGGGAAGTAGCAGAACGCATCGCAGCCGGAGTTGGCCACCCGGCAGGTTTACTCGTGCTGTCATCCGGTGGTTGTGTCATCGATCAGTGCCAGCTACTGCTGCATCAAGTCCAGCACGACGAGATCTGGTACGTGGTGCGGAAAATTGGCGCAGGGCGTGTCGCGATGCTTTGGGAGCGCCTACTCGAAGAGAAGACTCTGTCTGATGTAGCTGCCCTGAACGAAACGATGTCACTCACGTGGTATTCCAACCAAAACCTCACTGAGGGCATCCAACTACCCAGCAGCC